CATCTAAAACATGCAGGACTGTGGCCCTCGAGGACCAGGATTGGACGCCCCTGCTGTAGGGTGATACAATTTTGTCATTTATGTGATACTGCACAGTGTACAATTGATGTTGCATACTGTATGTAGGTCAGGCTGCAATAACTGTATGAAGTGTCATCTCATCAAAATAACTGCAGTAATTAAGGTTATGTTGTCCAAGAAAATCACCCTGTCAGAGAATGCATGGTAAGAGTTTGCAGAGAAAGCAGTATCACTGGAATACAAAAATAACAGCATAAAACTTTTCAGACAGTGTCCCCTGACAGAAATGTATACTATGGACCACAGTTACACAACAGACATAGTTGTGCAAAGAATAAGAAAAATAGAGCTGAGAGGAAAGGTCAAACACTGACCTCTGCATCACCTCTGCACTGCTGACCAATCACAGCATGAAGTAGTTATGAACAGATGAGCTTTATTTTCTTAGTAAGCAGATCATGAAACACTAAAAGTGAAGATAAAATACTTTCATTCTATAAATAAGAAAACTGATGAGATGATAGGGATTATTCATTAGGGACATACTTTCCCCTGAAGTCAACTGAAGAATAAATTAGAAAGAAAAACAACAAAAAACACAGGCTACATTACTGTTTTTAAAAGCTTGTTGAACCATTAAAAAAAAAAAAAAAAAAAACATTTCTGCATAGATAGTCTTGTATTCAAATCTTGTGTTCTAGGTATGCAAGAATGTTAAAATACCCCCACAATACAGTTCTGATATGCACCCATTCCTGATGAATACACAAAATAAAAATACTAGCTTCAAGATTATCTATGATCATTTATACAGTGATTCAAAGTGATAAAGCATCAGACTTTGTAACTCTTACGCTGTAGTTTATAAAAGAAGCAAAGTACAACATGTTAAGGATTATATGGAAGCACATGAAGACCGTGTAATAGGGAGCTAGGAATTGTTTGTCTACCCAACCTGTGCACACAGTGGCCACTAAGGTCAAATGCAGCATTTCCTTTTAACCTCAAACCACTATATATTGAGCTGATGGCACCCAAACTGCATCAAGGGCCCAACATGAATGTTCCTGCCACATTTAGATGTGATAAGGAATATATGTGACCACATAGTGTACAGTGAATAATTGTGTACCCATGGCTTCACTGATGAAACATTATCATCTGTGTAAATTCATGCATTTGTTCATTTGTGTGTGAAGAATATCATCATCGACAGAGTGGAAAAACTGGTAACATCCCATAACATCCTTGGAGAAAAGATGCAGTCTTTTCTTATTTATTCTACCAATATAGATAACACAATAGGGAGGAGCTACCATTTTCACCTTCTATACAACTGAAGGGATGGACTGTGCAGAGTCAGGAAGTTAGTACTTTAAAGGGGAGTGCTCCAAATTATTCTTTGACAAAGACATAATGTGAATTGTAACCTTACTGATGTAGCTCTATTTTTATGTAGTAATGACATAAAGCAGCTGGGCCTACTGGTTAGTGGCCAGTTTTACCAAAAATGATAGATCTTGAAAGTCATAACTGCTATCTAAATGAATTTCTAAGTACACTTTTAAATTTATATGTCATTTAAGAATGAATGTGAGCAATAAGACCAGCTGTCTGCAGTACTGAAGATGGCTGAACACACTTCATAGTAATTGGCTATAAGCCCTGTTATCTATCAAAAAATAAGTCAATCACAAAACAATAGTGTTAAAGTATTCAAAGAAGTGTTTTCTACTTGGAATTTTTCAGTATGAAAACAAAACTTGTGCAAGAAACAGGCTGTAGCTTTCACTTGCTGCCTTCAGTAAATCATATTACCTGGTGGATGTCTAAGAACGTGAACCTTGGTGATTTCCATTTATGCTCAAATCAGATGTTACTCTCACACTCACATTAATCCTAAAAATAAGGAGTGGGGGTTCCTTTAAATTTTATCAAAATGTTCACGTCATATTGTGGGAAGAGGATGAAATCAATTGGACAATTGTTGAAATAATTTGTCCCTGTATTTGGTCCACATCATTCTTTCTGCACCCAAAACACTGTCATACACAAATATTGCATTTCTTTTTGCAATCAAATCTTCTTTTTCAGTGTTTTTCTCCAGTTCTATTCTCCTGTCTATCATTCTGCAATGCATATGTGAAACCTGCACGTCAACAAACTCTGCCTTGTAAATACATTGTCGTTCTTTTTTTGTTTTTTTAAACTCAGTGTTTTTAAGAACCCTTAAATCAGAGTAAACAATGTTCCATCATACAGACCTCACTCTAGATTAGTCATGGAAAATGAGAACTGTGTGAGTTTCTTTCTTGTATCAAGCAGCAAAAAAAAGTTGTAGCATCACATGTTTAAGTTAATTTACCTTACTTTACATCATACTTCCTATGATGTAACTATTGCAAATATTGCAATGCCAATGCTGGACAAATAAAGATGCTGCCCTACTTCCTAATGTTCTTTAAATCTTGTGTTCTGGGTGTCTCTACAAGTGTGTAGGAGGCTCTTATATGAATATTTCTAATCTTTCTAACTTCTTTTTAAGCTTTTAGGGAACTTTTAATCGTAACAAGGTTTGTAAGGACATCTTTGTCCTAAAACGCTTAAGGGAAGGTATATGGCAAAATAATGTACTTTGAAAAGTATTTGTAATATTCTTGTTTAGCAATGACACTAGACAAAACAATAACTGATTATCACCACCACATATTTCATAGTGCTGTTCAATTTTGACCTGTTCTATAGTATGTACCTGTAACAGATAAAAGTAGATGTAGTCACATCAGTTTGTAGCACCAATGAATATCTAGGGAACTCAATTCCCAAGCAATCTGTCTTTCAAAGTCAAACATCTGTACTGCGGAACTGGTAATGCTGACATTTCTCTGCATATGTGTTGAAGTGCTTCAGGCTGCCAGACAGTTTTGCAAGAAGACTCGCAAGTTTGACTTTTTCACAGAGCTTTCTGTTGCTGTCACCTTTCACTTAGCTACGTAGTTAGAACTTACTGAATATATTTACTCCTAAAGTTAGACAGAACTCAACCAGGAAGTAGCAAAGGATCAGGAAAAGAGAAGACAAGGAGAAAATAGTGTGGTTAAAAAAAACATTACCACCTTCAGAATGGAAATCCAATAAAGAAAAACAGGAGTCTGGCTGTGCTTCAAACCTACTATTACAACTAGTGAAGGCAGTGAATTTAAACACATTCATCAAAAGTGGCATGAAAATAGCTTATAGAACATCCTTCAAGCATGTCAGAACGACAATCTAATCAGTGTAATGGTCATTGATTTTCATTTGTATTCCAAATCAATATAATTCGCTTTGAAAGTGCCAATACTTGAAAACCCTTATTGCCTTTAGGGTTAGGCCTAGGAAAAGAAAAAAAATGTAAACGTAAAAACAAATACAATCGTTGGACTGTTTTAATACGGTCCTTGAACGTATCATGTGTGATGTTGGGAAAATTCACCAAATCTATGCTTAAGTTTGTGATATTTCACCCAAAAAAATTAATTTAATTAAAAATCACTTTATTCTAAATGCCATATTTAAAGATTCTATATAAATAAACTGTCTGCATCTGATTCCTGTTAAAAAAATAATCTAAAAATCTATATTCTGCACTGAGTTTTCTGGTGAACTGCAGAATATGCTCAAACTGATTGGAGACAAGAATAGAAACAAATGAGAGAGACTGAGAGGAAAATAAAATACATGCTCAATATGATAAATTCACAAAGTGTACAGGACTTTGTGTACTAATGATTTATGGTGTGCTAATTAGGTCAGACAGCACTGAAAACATTTCTGAGTTCTCTTTCCTTCTAGCCATGGTTGTGCTGTTACTATTGAGGCACAGGACTTTATATTGCATGAGCCCACAGTGACATAAAATGTGACAGGAGCATATGATGCTCAGAAACTGCCTGGAGTTCAGAGGGTTAAAAACGAACTACAAATAACTAAAACACAACTCATTTTAAATTATATTAGAAAGTCACAATTTCATCGAATTTCATTTTTCTTCCATTATAGCTATATTACTCAAAGCCCTTTAAAAAATATATCTTTATTTCATAATTGCAGTTTTCCCCTCCAAAACATGTACATGTAACTTTTCTTTAAAGAGCTTTTGCTACCAGAGACAATAGATTTGTAAAAGGGAGGTTTAACAAGTTTTGAAATATTAAAACAGGTTCACATTCTATTCATTCCTTTATATGTTTTATTCAGTAATGTATAATGTCTTGTCCAACAATTTTATTTGAATAAGTCAAACAGAATGTAAACTCTGTTCTGCTCTCAAAGCTGACATTGTCCCTGCATCTGTGGCAGCTTCGTTTCATTTCTTTGCTGAAATCCTTGAACAGAAATGAAGTAAGGTGTGCAGAAGAACACCTGCTGGCAATAAAATAAAATGAGGGAACTCAACCTGAGGCATTGAAACACCTGAAATAAGAAAAGAATCTACTAACAGACACACGGTGGGCAGATTTCCATTCTGAAGGGGTACTGGCTCAGATGAAGCTCAAGAGAATCCAGATATTTCTGAGGAAAAAGATCCTATCCTCATCCTCTCTACCTCCTGTCAGGAGGATAGGACAGTAAATAGGCTGCCCCATGACTGGTTTTTAAAGTCACCACTGCATTTGAAGTACAATAAATTCAAATCAGCACTACAGGAAGGTAAGCTGATCCTAAATCTAAGTCTAAAGGCAACTTGAGTGTTGAGAAAGGATGGGGCCAACTGTTCGCTCTCTCAAGACTGCAGGCCAATAACAGTGTCTAACCACTTCTTGTATGCCACGGCGAAGCGTCTCTGCTCAGGGTTACAGCAGCTGTCCAAAATACTGTTTACAAAGCTGTGCTCAGAGGTCAGGGTGAGGGTGCCGGGCAGCAGGACGCCTCTCTTCAGTCGCTTGCTGTCATGTGGGTTTGGCAAGGACACCCTGTCTACCTCCATAGGTTCACTGGCATGCCTCTGACCATTTACACTCTCCTCCCGGCCTGCATAGCTTTGAGGGCTGACCTCCGACATGCCTGGATCAGAGTCATTGAGGTGGATTGACTTGTTGTCTCCTCTGCTACTGCACTGATGCTGTTGCTCCCTCTTCCACTGGTTCCACAAGTAGAAGACATGTCGCCTGGCAGGTGTGGAAATATACATTCAGTGTTTTAATATTAAAATGTATTGTACAAATACACTATACGGCAGGAAGTATACTCCTGAAACAACTAAAAAATAATCCATCAGTGCAGTACAAAGGTCAGTACAAATGTCTTTCAACCTGTCGAAACAGGTTGGAAACAGGTTGCAATATTCTTACTGCATTAATAGATTTATTCACTTGGTTCTATAAAAAGTTGGTTGAAGGAATTCAGTGCTGACAAAAATGAATTGTCAGACAAAAAACATTTTGCCGTTAATGCATTATTGTGCATGGGAAAGTCTTAATGTACATAAACAATTGTACAGAGTAAAAGAAAAAGAAGCATAAGTACACTTAAGAACAAATACCTCTAATATGTATTTAGACAGTAGTTGTGCAAATGTACTTGGCATCACTGCTTTCTGCAAATGCAAATAGTACTATCTTACAGATCTGGAAAAAAGGCGTGCAGTAAATATAAACCTCTTGGCAACAAGAGATCCTTTTCAAAAGGTCTGTACATTGCATACTACAATTTACAGTACACTAAAAATGTATGGTGCTTATCCATTAAAAGAACCAAGAGTTCCACCTTCCCATGAACAAGTGGACAAGAACTTTGATCAGTAAAAAATAGTTCCTCCAATGCTTTGTGATTTGCTTTTCAACAGTTAAGCATATTTGCCTTAAAGTTCTTGAACCTTTAAAAAAAGTCCCACTCACTAAGCAGGGATTTGTTGGCAGGTAACACTTTTGCCCCAGAAATTAATTTAGACCCTGATAACTCAGATAAAAACACAGGTAGGGGAGCTGAGATCCCCAAAAGGTTCCTGCTCCCTGGGGAAAATGCATCTTTAGCTTATCTGCAGTTCTGTACTGTGCTTCTGTTTCACCTAACGACATTCACAATTTACTTGCTAAACATTTTGAAGAGAAGTAGCATATTACGTCACTGCAAAATGACAAACGTTATGTTGAGCTCTGTGGCCTTACCTGTGACTCCAGAGTGTTTCATGCCCAGGAAAGGACTGAATCAGGTCTGAGCACAGTTCTATCTCTTGTTGAAAAAGCTGAAGGACTGTGGTGAAGCTGAGCTGTCCATCATCCTCACTTGCTGCCTCAGCACCTGACAACTCCCCATTAGTTTGAGTGCAGCTGTGTTGGTGGGGACTGCTGCTGGGGACTGTGCTGGACCAGTGCTGGGATGAACCATTGATGGTGGCAGAAGCTGGAGTCTGGTAGTGCTCAGTGATCAGCTCCTGGAGCAGGAACTGGCGGTAGTGAAAGCCACTGTGGTCAGACACATGCATGGACACCCACAGGCGCATAGAAGAGAGCTCATCATGGAAAACCTGCCAGGTAACATGGTCACACAGGTGCTCATGAAAAACAGAAGACTAAAATTGAGGACTCACAACATTCACTAAAGAGATTAGACTACAATAGAGTGTTTATTTCTATCACTCGCCAAATCAAGTTCCTAATTTTGATGCTGGCACATGGTCAATATACATTGGTGGAAAAAAGTTTTCAGACACCCCATGCATGTGTGAAATATTGCATTAAGAATCACTCATTGGTCTTCAAGTGCAATTTCTTTTAGTACAGTCACAAGCAAAACACTAAACAAATCCTAAAAAAATTGATTGGTTCCATAAAAATACACAAGACATTTTGAGAATTGGATCATTTTGGTACCAGTGATCCACTAACAATTTAATTAAAAGACACAATTTTTGTTGCTGTGCTTCGTGTCTATAATAAATATTTGTTTGTGTCTGTCTAATGCAGCCACACCTTTTGAAACACAAAAAAGATTTTTCCACAAATATTTTATGGTAATATTTAAGATTGTGCAAAATTTAAGGCTGTCCGAAAACATTTTTCCACCACTGTACAAGCAGTAAAACTTAATAGGTAGAATTATACTTCTTTTAGGGAAACAGATTTCTACAGAAACAACACCACAGAAGGGACGTCACAATGCAAGAAATGTGACAGTCAGTACCAACACCACTAAAGTTCTATGATTCTTAATAGCACAACAAAAAAGAAATGTATTTCAACATAAACTTATATTTGGAAAAACTCATGATAGAGCGTAAAAGTTGAAGTGTAAATGTAATAATTAATAGAAATACATTGCTGTTAATAGTATTAATACAAAAAATACAAAAACAGTGGTGGCTGCATTTTATTGCAGTGCCCAGCTGACTAATACATGAGGGAAAAGATGCAAATAAAAAATAGGTTGGGTGTATTAAATATATGGGGGGAAAAAAATCAACGTTACAAAAACTGTGGAATGGAGCTTTCAAGTATTTCAAACCAAAAATATTGTGTTCTTAAACTAACTCATCCAGTATCCTTGTGGAGTCTTTGATTTAATTTTTTTTGTCATATTTTCTGCACTTGGGAAAAGTTTCAGATACGGTTACTGTGTGTTTTGCTGCACACCACATGCACAAACACACACAGTAATGTCAGTAGCCTGCTATTGTTATTAGCGGAACCAAGCTCCCATTTGATGAAAGTTCTATATTGCAGTAAAACCCAGTAGCACCAGAAATGACCTATGGCCTCTTCAGTTCTCATGAGTGTTTACGATCGACTACAGCTGCTGACTATTCTGAGCTAATTTAAAAAGAGCCCATCTGATACACTCTTCAGACTCAGCCACAAACATGACACTGGAAAAGTCTAAGGAGCTCAGCACAGATCTGAAAAAGTAAACAATTGACTTGAACAAGTCAGAAAAGCTTATTTGGAGCCACTTCAGATCCCAAAATCATCTGTGTAAATAATTTTATAGTATGAAGTACATGGCACAGTTGTGTCACTCCTACAATCAGGAAGAAAACCCAAGCTATCACCGACTGCTGAGACAATGGGTCAGGATGGTCAAGAGTCAACCAAGAATCACTAAAAGCAGGTCTGCTATAAATTAGAAGCTTAGAACACACACATACACACTCACACACTCACATGCTCGTATGTGTATATATTAGTGGTGGGATGTGATTAAAAAATGTACCTAATTAATTAGTGGCTTTGTAATTTATTAATCGCAATTAATCACATTTTTTTCCAAATAGCAATATTTGACACAATAAGCAAAATGCTTCCATTCAAATACATTTTGGTTGATGACTAAATCAAGGAATAGGCATATCTGTGAACTTACACAACAAAAATGTTTATTTTTCCTCTATCCGTGCATTTTTCATCTGTGTACTACATTCACAGATTAGTGCAAACTCAAAGTGCAATTATAGCTACTATATTCAACATTTTAAACCTCTTTGTTATATAATTTGCACACAACCATGCTCTTATTCAAGCTGCAATCGGGTAGTTTAATTTTTTTTTTAAATTTTCCGACAAAACAAGCACTGCGGTCTAGACCAAACTTTCAAACAAACTTTAGATACATTAGCGCCACCTACAGGCTGGAGTGTGTGCATCAGTGTTACCGGTGTGCCAGAATTTAGGGAACTGAGAAAGGTGCGATTGAAAGGTTTTTGGAGTTTTATTGGACTTTGCAAAGGAACACCAAACATGGGACATTGAAAAGTGGAAGAAAGTTTTATTCTCTGATGAGAAAAAAATTTAACCTGGATGGTCCTGATGGTTTCCAACATTACTGGCATGACAAGTAGATCCCCCTGGAGATGTTTTCTACACTGCACAGCGGAGCAGGCTCCATCATGATCTGGGGTGCCACTTCCTTTAACGGAAAAATGGCACTGCAGGTTGTGCAAGGGCATCAAACTGCAGCTGGCTATGTGGAGATGTTTCAGAGACATCCCTCTTGACTGAGGGCCCTTGTCTGTGCAGCAACGGCTGGGTCTGTCAACAGGACAACACTGCAGTTCACAATGCCCACCTGATGAAGGACTTCTTCCAGGAGAATAACATCCATCTTTTATACCATCCTGTGTGTTTCCCTGATCTAAATCTCACTGAGAAAATTTGGGGATGGATCGCAAGGGAAGTTTACAAAAACAGACACTGGACCGTGGATGCCCTTTGTGAAGCCCTCATCACAGGGAGCAACATTCCCACCAGGTTTTTTTGGGAGTTATGGTCTTAAACTTTGGATCAACTGAAGAACAGCCTGTTTGAGTTTAAATGCAGTTTTCAATAAACTGCCTACTCTCCTTTTGTTGTGTCTTGCTCCTGTTTCTTCTTTTTGCATTTTGAAGTTGTACTTACAATCTGGTTACAATCCACCATCACAAAATGTGAATACTTGTGATTCTTTCCCTGGACTTAAGATTTTGATATACAGCGGGGAAAATAAGTATTGAACACGTCAACATTTCTCTCAAAAAACATATTTCTAATCGAGCTATTGACATGAAATTTTCACCAGATGTCGGCATCAACCCAAGTAATGCACACATACAAAGAAATCCAAACATTTATGTCCATAAATTAAGCTATGTGTAATAAAGTGAAATGGCACAGTATTGAACACATGAAGAAAAGGAGGGGTAAAAAGGTCTGGCAAGCCAAGAAAGCAGCTGGAGTTTGTCAGTATTCAGAAAGTTAACCTGTCCCCTATTAGTTCAAAGTAATATCAGCTGGTTTAGTCCTGATTGATGCCTTTTAAAAAGGTTTCTCACCAGCAAGGTGTTAGACAAGAAGCATTGCATG